AAATCATGTCCCTTTAGCTGAGAATTACTCCTCTCTAATGTCTACAAGCACTTGCTTACGTTTTCACACTGACCGCTGAACTTGACAACTATCGCTCCTCTATCACCACAAGGACTACACAGGTTTCTAAATGGCGGTTTGTATCATTTCAGAGCACGAATTCTACCAGCACATCCAGCCTCTTTGATGTACCAAATTGTTTCTCTTATACTCTCAGACTTGCCACAGCATTTATTCCAGGTCTGTTTTCCATATCACTTCTCTTCGGCTCCAGAGCTCTGTTTAATTAATTCACTCCCTCGGTCGAGACTCCCAATTTCAAAAGAGGCTTCATTTTCTGCTTCGAAAAGTGTGGAGTATCGGTGCTTTCCCGTATGTGGGGGTTTAACGGTAGGCAACTAAACCTGACCGTGGAGCAGGAGAGTACATGAGGATCTAGTTAGCATTTAGGGGAAAAGATCCTGGCTTATGGTGTAGCCACGGCTGCTTTCCCGTCTTTTTGACATGCTGCTTCTGCATCTACGTTGTAAATTCTCGAGCGGGTTCTCAAAAAATGATATGTAGGTGTTGCTCCAGAATCCACGAGGATCGATTCGATTTGATTGGTTTTTCTACAGATCCACGATATTCGCAATGGCTACGTTTTTAAGATAGGATGAAATTAGCGGAACATCCTGTTGGAACACGATGGAAAGGCTCCTGTAACGGCCCTTTACCTGCGGTCTGCTTGACCCAGACGCGTCAGAATTACCCAATTCGCCAAAGATCGCATGAATTGAAGAACAACTGTAGACTCAACATCTGGGCTGGTTTAGTAAAGTTTGACGCCCTACCGTGGATAGAAGCCGCTCAACACATAGGCCTACACAGACATCGATGTTAGACCGTGTGGCAAAGGTTGAAAATGAAACTTGGCCAAAATGCGTCTGACGCGATTTCCCAGTTGTCGTCCTCTGGCAGTTCTGTAGCAAGTTTTGACAACCGGTCCATGTCTTCCCGGAGTATTTCATCCTATCGTCTTTCATAACCTGTACACCTTAACAAACTTCAATTTGAACTCCCGCCACGTCGGTCACATTTGTTCAAAGAGACGAAAGGGCTGTTTCCCGCTGTTTCTGTTTGCATAGGTATACACAATTGCTGATACATAATTCCCGTTAAAATTGACACTGGGCTCTTCAACCAATAACTTTACTTCGACGTGAAGGTGACAATATTTTGTACCCGCCTACTTAGCGGGGCTAGGCCAACCAGATTTTGATGTATTCGTGTGAACGCTCTCTATTGTCGGCTCTCTGTTATCATAAAAACTTTAAGTCTAATGATCATTTCTCAAGTTAAAAAAAAATTCACCTCAACGCACTTCGGTACCGACAGACCGTCATATTATTTCAAGAGGGGTGAGAAGGCTACTTGAAAGCAAGTAGATAGAAAGCTCAAAAATAAATAGAGCTTCAGGCAAGATTTGTTTTAAGAACACTGCAATCTTCCAATGACAAATTTAAACACATTACAAAACAACAGAGAGTCGACTGCCACCAAAATCGCGGGAATGAAGATTTTTGTACTTGTCCGCAGGCATATCTTATCTTCTTTTCATAATTGAAAACACAACTCAACAAAAACAATTAAAAGTAACATATAAATCAAAGTGAAAGAAACGGTTTAGTGTGACTGAAATGCGATACTACCTGCCTGACGACAGTCGGACAATCACCCCATACGTGGGCTTTTGTTAGCTTAAGGACCACTATTTGCTGTCAGCTGTATTTTATTACTTGTACAAAGCATCTACGTGTTGTTATCAATGACTTATAACAAGTGGCGTAGTGATTGGTTAGATATACCATGGAGAAATAAAACATTTCTCCATGGATATACGCGTGTGTAGGAACGCGATAGTTGAAATCGAGTCCCTGAAAGGTTCGACAGTGTGATGGCATCGATATGAAATTTCTTAACCAACTGTGCACAATAGATCCAGGTTTTGCATTTGTGACTTCTCTGCTTTATAACTTTCTATTGACGAACAATGCATGCAGTGTTTGCCATAAAAGTCACTGAACATTGAGTGAAATCTCTAGATTGCGTATAGAAAGGAACTTGCGTTACACCTACAACGCTCTTGGCCAAGATTAATGACGCCTTTCTCCTAATAAATTTAATTCTCAAGCACAAACTGCATTCCCTACCCCAAACACAGTCAAAAGCATTATGGACATTATATTTTAAAAATCAGCGACGCAATAGAGAAAAATTCTAGTAAAAGTATCATTACATTAATGACGACATTGCCAATACCAAAGGCAAAACAAAGTAGCCACATAGTACTGAATATCGCAAATAGCACAAACCAAAGCTCATGTTTATTGTACAAAAAATATTTTGTAATCTGAAGATTTGTCACATTCAAAATTAAATATCTGACATTTTGACCTATTTTGATTTAATAACATTTAGTTCACTTTAAAGTTCCAAACGATAAAATTGGATCCATTCTAATATAAATATTAAAAGTCAATAATTAAATCATTCTCCATTTCACATATATCACCCGACAGTTTATATCTGCGTAATATAAAAAGAATTCAAAACATTTGGCTGAAAAATTCAGAAAAACTAAGAAGTCTAAAGGCACTTTTCTGTGGCCAAAAATCTGAGTATAAAAGATATACAAGTGCATCAAAATATACATTACATATACACGAGCAAGACTGGACATATAAATGGATACGATTATACTATTTATTATTAATTTCAACAGTAACGATTTATAAAATGATCTCTGCACAAACTTGCAAGTTAGCAATAATTCGTTGTTTGTGACATCTGAGAAACAGATCGATTTCAGGTACTTTACTCAATATACAACAAAGCACTGATTTTATGTTAAAAATTTCAGGTGATAAATTTCTAGATAAAACAAATCTATCAAATATTTATGTCATATTAAGCTCACTGACATTAAATCTGCACAAAACCAATTCGAAAGTCAAACTTTTCTATTTGATCAAACAATAACTTATAACACAGTTTGTGCATCATTCAAAACATATATGTCCAGCTCACTTGATAACTTTTTTATATTGCATTTTACGAATAAATGAAGAACTTATCCCCAACACAGTAACTTTATTAAATTACATCAATTTTATCGTGTACCGTGTCGTTTTACAATTTTGCAAAAATGTACATATTAAGCATCATAGCAAGTAGCCACAATTTACCACATGTAGAATAAAACGATTTGTGTCATTTAGGCCTCAGGCCTGGTTATACAATTTGATATAAATACATGGGCTAAAGTTTATTTAATACACTTGAAATATAATTGAAAGCTTTACAGTTTCAAGTAAGGTGAAGACCTGTATCAAATCAAATTTAAACAGATCAAATAACATCTGAAACGTTTAAAACTTCCTTTAAAGTTGGCAATTCTTGAAATGACGTCCGTGTGATAAGGAAAGGTGAAATCCACTTTTCATTATTACAATATTGCTCAAAAGCCTCTTCTCAAGTACAATATTACTGTCCTAGAACCAGACGTTTTCCATTCACCACGCATTCTTTACATCTATTTGGTAGATTGTGCATTGGCCAAAACTACTGCCGAGTTATTATGCACAAAAGGCTAATAATGTAATGAATTCTAGAGAATGAAAATCAGGAAGAAATCAGACAAGGCTACTTGTTGTGTGTAAAATGTCAAGAACTGATGAATTCAAGTACTTACACAATTGTCATCAAAGACGCCTTAATTTGTAACAAATGTCAGACTGAGTCTGCCTGTTTTATTTATAAAAGTGCTTATTAAGATGAAACAAAGTTTCAGAACATGAACTAGAAATCAGTTCTTATCACGATTAACCCCTCTCCTACTATCAGCCTCTTCATATTCCTCTACACAGCTGCTTCATCAACATCTGGTTCCTCAGACAGAATGTTCTCGATCTCCTCCAACAATCCATCTAGATTTTCCTCCTTGCATCGCTCATTGTCCTCAATTTCATCAAGGAGCTGCAACAAATAATAACATGAGAAGTTAAAACTTCAAAGTTAGGCCATTTATCATGACGCTTACCCCCCCTGGAAAATCCTCTATCCATAAAGATTGAACGGAGAGCTTACCAAACTTATCAGGTATCCA